GGGAGGGGGGGGGGGGGGGGGGGGGAGGTACGGGGTTCAAAACAAGCAAGGATTCATAAACTTGACCACGTGTTGGAAGGGAACATGTGTTTGGATTTTGTGAGGAACCGATAATTTAATTGAAAATGTTCTTTCAGAAGTTTAAAAACATTTATGTTCTATATCTTTAGTTCTTCCATACAGTGCACAGGAAATTTGATTTAAACTTTGTTTTTGGTCTTAATTTGCCCTTTTTTAGTTTTATTTTTAAAAAATAATAATTACAAACAACATTTGATAAAATAATGTATGAATATCATACATTATTGTGTATGATATTCATACATTATGAATGTGCTCTGAGGAAGGCACCATCCCCACACACTGCTTCCCACTGTTCACTTTGGTGATGGGTTGAAAACAGAGGTCGCATTTGGTTGTGTGCAGTGGTGTGCTCTGTCACAGTGACAAGTAGTTCACTTTCCTTCCTTTCCTCCTTAATTTACAGTTACAATCCAGAGCCGTCAAACAAATATGAAACACAGTGGTGTCAATGGTCTAAGTTCAGCTTTAGTCTACATACTGTACAAATATGCAACATGTCATAAGAATGTGGAATTCTCCGACAAACTAAAGAGTCATTCACCAACACAAACCTGTGACTAACGTAAACTGTGGCTTCATGTAAATATTATAAATAATAAATAATATATAAATAATTATTGAGGAACATTTTCCATTGGTTTATTTTTCTCTACATTATCTTTAAGTGGAAGGGTCTTCACAAAAATAGCATAAACAGTGACACACACACACACACACACAAAGGGTGAGAGTGAGGATGGGATGAAAGGTGACTGCGCGCCCCCAGTGCCCCTCTGTTTTTCTGGAGTTAGAGGCAGACTTTGAACCTTCATGGGCCGACAAGGGAGACATCAAGGTTAGCAAACGTTTCACAGACTGAGATAGTGTGTAAAACACAGGAGGGAGAGACAGAGACAGACAGACAGAGAGAGAGAGAGAGAGAGAGAGAGAGAGAGAGAGAGAGGGGGAAAGAAGGAGTGAGATAGGGAGATCATGGGAAAAGAGAGGTTCAACACCGCTGGGGTGAGGAGGGTTGAGGGGAGAGTGTTTGAAGCCTGCATTAAAGAATTCTGTCTCTCAGCTGAAGGAGACTTTTGATTTCCAGATGTGTGATGCAACAGCACGAGTGAATGTGTGCTGACAATGTCTGTGTCGTATTCAAAAGTGTGTCATGAGGTTAAAAGCTTCTAGAGTAGACAGAATAAACGCATGTTCTACTTGTGGTGAAACTTCTTACTAGTGATCGGTTCTCCGTCTCAGCGCCCAGGGACGGGCTGAGGTGCTCGGCGCTGAGAGAAAGACTGTCCTCTTCCTCGTCTTCCTGGTCAGGCTCCTCACCCAGGGTACGAAAGACGGAGAGCCCGCCCACTTCGGCATCAACTATGCCATCCAAACTGTCGGTCAGAGCCGCAAGAAGGTCCACGTTCTCCTCTTCTATCTGGGGTTAAAACAGAACAAAGGGTTCACAGTTATACTTTGTTTTTCTTTCTTTTGGTGCAGATTTCTTCTTTTACGTGTGATTCATGAAAAGCATTTTTGTGATATTTAGAGCTGACAGATCAAACTGTGTCTAATTTCTCATATCTGTTACAGCGATTTTGACCAATATTGACTGTAACTAAGATCAGCCCATCCTCACTCAGGGTTAGATGCAAAGGCTGGGTATCCAAATTGATTCTATGTTATCCGAATATCTGAGAATTCCTTACATTTCCCAGAACCCAACGACACTTCGGAGGTAGACTATCCCTGGAGTCTGAACTTCGCACTGCTAAGAGGCAGATCAGGAGAAACGAGACACAGATTTTCCAATGGACAATGATTCATTTCCTTAAACTCCATTCCAGTATTGGTCTTTCAGACACTCCCTGTGTGATGGTTAAACATTTATGCACTTCCTGTTATTTGTTCACATCTGTATTTGATGTGTGAGCCCTGGTTTCCATGGAACATCATGAACCACTTTTTGACCCTTCAACTGTGAGGACAGACCAAAAATAACTAAAATCTGCTTGATTTTATACATTCACAGCTTTATGTACTGCCCTTGGCTGAGGAAGAAAAACAGAGGTTTGGGTGTTCTGCTGAATCATTCCCCGAAAACCTGCTGTACTTTTCTGACCTTCCTCGTCTTTGTTAATACTGGTCAACACTTATCTGTATTCCATCAATGCTTCTCTCCTCATCTCGTCTATTTACATGGAAAATATAAGAGGGGATAACGCACTCAGAACTGACCTTTATCCTTATTAGAGAGAACATTATGCAGATTTGCTGAGAAAGGGAGTTTTATTTCACGTAGAGGTCAAGAGTTTGACCTGCATCATTGTCAACTTCTTTGACTGTCTGGGTTGAGCCTCCTGTGTTGGTATATACAGCAACAGTGTGGTGCATTCATGAAGCCAATGAGGAAGTGCCTAAAAACAGTATTTATTACAGTAGCCAACAGGGGGCGATTCTTTTGGTTTCTAACTAGAGAACATAAACCCAGATTATATCCTAACATCAGGTAGGATTTTTCTGCGATCCTCAGGGTTTCAAACGCTTACAGAAAGTCAAACCTTTTACAGTATGTTGTGTAACAGTTACTGTATAGGCAACTGTGTTAGGGCACCACTGTACTGTGATAGGCAGTTCATGAAATCTAATAGGTTTCTATTTTAGTAGAAACTTCTGGAAGAGAAAATAAAAATATATAAAAAGTGCAAATAGCTTACACTTAAAAATTGAGGGTTTTGTAAAACGATAATAAGTCATAAAAAATGCTATAAGAAAATGACCTAAAGCCTTTATGGGTGTCTGCGTCAGGTACTAATTAATAGTTGCTTAATCAACATCAATAATAAGTTAATGAGACTAACTACAGTAATTAAATGGAACCATTAAATTTGCCAAATTGCAGACGGTCCCTGATCAAGCACTTGGTCTGGTTTCACCTTTCCTTATGTAAATAATAACAAAGCATTCATAATAGACAAAACACCATCATCGCAGACGACAGCGCCTCCTGGTGGAGCATGTAGTTACAACAAAGTAAAGGGGCTAAAACCACTGATAAACTGTGATAAAAGTGTAATTTCAACTAGTTTTAAACCATAGAATGTACCACTGCACATCCATCATCCCGAGATTCCATATCTGTATATTCAATCTTAATTTCACTCAATCTTTCTTCGGTTGTGCTCCATCCACACTGGGGTTATTTACCGTTGTGGAGCAGCCATCTTGCTGAGAGCGGAGTCTGGTGGAGAGGTGATAGCATGACTGGCCTACGGGAAGCCACCGAGCTCCATTCATCTGTCTCCTCCATTTATCGTCCGACTCTATCTGTTCCCGGCTGCCAAACTATTTATTATTTAATTTATTCTCTGTCTCTCAGCCTCTACGACTCTCTCCGTCTCTGTCTTCACTGAACGCTGAAGTCTAAAAAGCTCTGATAGTAAACATCAGGTAAATAATTAAGACGGAGAATGTTAGTCTAAGATCATAAGCAGTTTAACTAGTGATGTAAATGGATACTATTACTCATATCAGTGTAACTATATATTCGCAGAAATTGGCAGAATCAACACAGAGACTAAAGACACCTTACTACTATAGTTATTTATAAAGAGGATTAGTGTATGCTAGTTCTGCTGTTATTTAATCCCAATGTAAACTTTACAAACTGCTGTACACTTTTTCGTTAATTCATAATCTTTTAATGTGTATTTAAGTCATATTTTAGGATCAAAGTTTTTTTTATATATATATTTCTGGTTACCAGGGCAGACACACCCTGAACCACAGAGAATCTGGTGATGATTTCTGATCATGATTTTTTTTTACAGTATGTGCATTTTAGTTGTATTTGAATGCCATTTTCTGGACTGAAATTAGTATTAAATGTGAGAGATAAAGATCCGTAAATGCACAGTCTGCACTAATATTTTATTGTAATACAAAAATATTTATAATTATTAACATAGTATTAGCCAGACTTAACACAGTGTTTTCTGTACACTGAATTGATCCATACTACAGAAAAACAATCAATCTGACAGGACATGGGATTATAATCCCACAGGCTACAGTTAATCAGTAGTATATTGACAGGCAGCAGAAAGACAGAGACGCAGCTGCCTCTGAGTGGTTAGTCTACCATTGTATTTATTACTGTGTTACCAACAGTCAGTCATGTGACCCGTCTGCTCTGCCGTTTTGGCTGATCAATAATGTATTGACTAAAATAAAAAAGAACTAACAAAATGTACAGTGGTTGAAACGAACAGATGACCAACAGTTTCTGATCATATAAATTATTATAAGTATAACTAGTTGGGCAGAAAATTGGGGAAGAACGGGACTTATGCGAAGAGAGAAATTGTGGGAATTCTTAAATATCAAGTATAAATAGTAAATATTAAAAAAGAGGCAGTGTCGAAAGAAGACAAAAACCAAACAAACGTGCAAAGTCATAACTTATCTTCTGACTCCTTTGCTTCTACGTCTTCACCAATCGAAGGCTGTCGTCAACAGATTGCAGTATTTATTAAGCTATTAGCTTTAGCTTTTAGCTTTATGCCCTCGTACCTTTCCACACTCATAAAGACGATGTGGCGTCAGTGCAAATAAATGCCGCCGCTAATTCACTCCTGTGTAATAAAATGACGTTCCTGTGCTACTGGACGACTCCTGTGTCTGCTAACGTGGATCAAAAACCAAAATAACTCCACTCACCTCTGCTACATTCCCATCATGCACAGCTCTTGCCTTCCTCTAACCAATACTCAGTGGAGTTTCACAGAACTGGAGCATTTTCATGAGCAGCTGAATGAATCTTTAAGTCTCCTGTAGTTGTCGTTTTATTTTAGGTGATGTATTTAAATAACCCCACTGACGGTCGATGGAAATGGAAGCCTATAGACAATCAATGAGGGTCTTCCCTGAAGTCATCACAGTCAGGACCTCTGATACTGGAGCTCTGGACTTATCCACCCTGACGAACCAGTTCCATCATCATATTTCACAAGGCATAATTAGCAATGACCTTCTTGGCAGTGTCCAGTAGGTGACCAGATTTCAGTGGGGATCAGGTGAAAGATCCAGGCTTTGCATGTATCAGACACAGAAAAACACTGGCTGCGAGTTCATCATTCCTGATTAAATAACTGGCCAATAACCAAGACAAAAGCTATAAGAGATAAAATTAACGAACAGCACCAAAAGGCTGCTTCACATGCTGCAACGTGTTCAGGTGTTAAAACTCATTAAGTGGATTTTTTTGGCTGTTCCATGGTGTCCATGGAAGTTTCTATCATTTTCTAGCACTATCCTAATATTTTTTAGTAATGTTGTTTATGTTAATGTTAATGTTCTGTAACTTTAAAACACATCATAAAATACACAACATTAAAAAAAATACAAAAGAAAAACCCAAACTTTTTTTTTTTAAATATTGCCTTTTTTCCACCAGAAAATGTTTGAATTTTCTGTTTGAATTTCCTGGCCTCAGAGGAACTTGAATTATATCCCATCTCCTTGCAGCTGTTCCACTGTCCACATAACATCTGTTTGAGGCCCAATAAAGCAAAAATACCAAGAAGGTTGCAACACTGAATGGCTTTAGCAGAAATAAATTCCATCTTTTCATTCATCTTCACCTGCCCTTCATGAAAGCTGGCTGCCCCATTTACACATGCAAATAACATTGAACTCTATAGGAAAACTGCTATAGTTGAACGCTGATGGTGTGTAAAGATGAAATAGTCACCAGGCCGTTTCAGTAAGTCGGCCTCTGGTACAGATGGGAAGACCTTCTGCCTTGTATTCAACATTTTTGTTCCAGTTTTTGAAAAGGTTGCTCTGATTTGATTACACCAAACCTGGCTTCAAAGGACTCATTTGTGCCTTTAAATCTGTACCTGCAGATGTTGCATCATTTGCATAAATTTCTGATTAGACCAAAGCTGAATTTTGGCTGGATTTCATCAACCTGAAGCGACACTCTGATTTGCAGGTGGTTGTTTGTGTTCTGCTAATCAAAACAGATTTCAAGGCCTTTTTTTATAGCTTTTTTTCTAAGACAGACACAAAGGGTTCCTTGATCCGTCATGACTCGCAGAATAAAGACCAACTAATTTACCAGGAAAAACAAAACAACACATACTTGGATTTTGATGAGACCTTACCTCAAACAGCTTATCTGCTGTGCTATAGTGAATGGAAGCAGGTGAGGCATCTGCTGGCTGATCGTTGCACCACTGCAGCTCATTCAGATAGTTGACGCTGTCGAAGTCACTGGTGTCCAGCTGAGAGAGGTCGATGTCAGAAAAATCGGTGTCCAAACGGTCCGAACATACCTCCTCCTCCCCATACTAAAAGAAGAGGAAAGAGAAATACAAGAAAAATAGTTATGTTTACGGACAAAGAGTTTCCATTTTTGTAAAGGCACTTTGCTCAGGGTACTATAAGGAGTTGAGGGTTTGTTTCCCACTGGGGGAAACACTTTAAAAACATGCAGGTTTGGGAGTTGGAGTAGTGTGAGGCACTTTGGATAAAAGCTGTCGTCTGGCAAATATGGTATAATATTACACCGTTCAGTGTCTGAGTCAGGAGGAGCTCTCATCAACAGCTCCTCGTCTCTCAACAGCTACTCATTACAGATAATGAGACTTCCACGTTTGAGGAGATTCGACAGAGACCAAAAGACGCATCTGCCTGCTACAATGCAGATAGCAGACAGGAAAATAAGTCACGCTGAACCTGAAAGGTTCCTCATGGTCTAATACTACAGCATGTATACCTGATGTTATCAAGTGGAATTATGACTCCAAACTGACTCCAAATGTCATTTGTACATCTTATAAAAAATACTTTTCATGTTAACAAGGTGTATTGGCCCTAGATCTAGGGAATGTTTTGGTGGCACTAGCTTGGAGAGAGGTTAGACTAAAAGTACAGAATTATTTGGCAAATTATACTATGTAGGTACATGAAATGACAATTTGACCCGACATGACCTGATGTTTTGCCATTCTGGAGTACATTTTGAGGGTTAAAAAAATAATTTCACTTTACGTCTAATTTTATTAAAAAATAAATTTAAAATAAACTTAATTAAAGCAATAATAGTGCTCTGTCGTTTTCTTCTCAGACTTTTAAGAGCAAGCAATACAAACATTCTCTAAAACTTTTAAAAAAGAATTAAATCTTCCCAAAAACACATTACATTCTCCTACAATAAAAACAATGCGTCAGATAATTCAATGAAGAACTATCAAAATGCTGAGGAAAGCCCTGCAGGTTTTTAAACAGAGATCTTCTTAAACCCTCTTTCAAACTGAAGCCAGTGCCACGTGGTCTGCAGACACAACACATGGCTGAGTTTCACACAGAAACTTCCAGCCACGTCACATCAAGTAGAGAAAAAAATAGAGAGGAGGAAGTGTGCGTACGTGACTGAGCGTCAAGAGAAAACTCTGTGGTCTCAGGGGCTAGACGGACCAGGGTTGAAATATTTGAGGATACAAAAAAGTAGTTCAAGGGCAGCAAGTAGTATTTAACAAGAAACAAGAGTTTGTTTTGAAGCTGTTTCTGTGTTTTCTTTGAGAAGACAAGAGAAAAGATCAATGAGCTATTGTATGTACACTGAGGAAGCATGCTCTCTGTCTCTCTGACACACACACACACACACACACACACACTTCCTTCTACAGTCTCCTCACTGCAGTAATAAACAGGGCCGACCAGTTATAAAGCAACCGTCTTTCAAACAGAATCAAACAACCCCCTCCATATCAGATTTCCTCGGTGGTAATTCAACCTTCAACTGACACTGAACTGCACATTGTTCCTCCAGTGTTTGTCTCTGAAAGGAACTAAAGTAAAGGACAAAAACACCTTTGAGTTCATAAAGAGATGACAAGGACAGATGTAAATTAATTTTCCACCAAGTGTATGATGTCACGGCAGATTTTTGAATCACGCTGCTACGTGTAAACACTTGTTGGATGTTGTTCCCGTCAAACTATGGTCGGAGGGGAACCAGTGATGTAAAAAAAAAAACAAAAACAAAAAAAAAACAAAAAAATTACTTATTAACTGTCGTTGTATTAATTAATGAAAATTACTTTTTAACTGTCGTTGTATTAATTAATGAAATGTTCATGTTTATGTACAAAGTACATACATATACATATATAGATATATATTACATGTTATTTTATATATGTTCATTTTGTCCATTCCATAAGGCTTTTATTTGGGTTACAGGAAACGTAAGCTGATATCAGTTATGGTCCCATAAATTACACAGCAGAGCAGGCATGACCACAGAGCCAATCAGCAGAGTGGACAGAGGGAACAGGGACGAAGGTGTGAAGTCAAGAGGGAGAAAGATGACAGGGGGTTCTGAAAAGGAGGACGGGAGCAGGGAGGACAACTAAAAAGGATGAACAGATAGACCGCAGGGAAAACTGAGCAAGTAAGAAGGAGAGAATAATGGTTGGTTAAGAGAACAGACCAGGATGAAGCAGTGAGCAACACGGTCGTGACTTAATAAAGAAGAAAAAGATGGAAAGGAGGAATGACAGGAGGGAGGAGGAGGATGCCCTCTGTACGATTCTCCCGTTGCTTCCTGTAGCAGATGTGTGTTTATACCTCACTCTGCCTGTGTGTGTGTGTGTGTGTGTGTTGTAGTTAGCAGTCAGCTCACATCCCTCCTCACGTGCTCCTGACTCATTCCCCTCCACGATTAATTCCCTCCCGCTCATCATTTTATCCCTCTTTTATCATCTCATCCCCTTTTTCATCCTCTCTATCCTTCACCTGTCCTTTCCTTGATTCAACATTTCCTCCTTTAACCCAACTGTTTTTACATCACTCTCCTTCTTATCCAACCTCTTTCCTTCTCCTTCTCCCTTCATCATTTTCTCCACTCCTGCCCCACTTGTCTTTTATTGGACATTCTATTTTTTCTCTTCTTTGCTCTTCTTCTCTTCCCCCTGCTTCATCTCTACTTCCCTCCATCTAATCCTCTTGCTCCTCCTTAACTCCCTCTCTCACCTCCCTTCCTCTTTTCTAGCTTCTACGTGCCCCATTCCTTCTTTTTCTTCCTCTTTCTCTCCATCTCTCCCCTCTGTCATTTCACAATCCCTCGCCTCGTTTTACTTTGATTCTTTCCCTTCTTATGACCCTGCCTTGCCCATACATGCCCGTAAAGTCCGAGGAATAATTGATTTCTTTGTTCCTCCCGATTGTCTCTCCTTTTCTTTCCTTTATCACCTTCTCTCTTCTCCTCTTCTACCTCCTCTTTAAAGCCATCAATCAATGAAAACAACCTTGGGGGCGACACGTGGGTTTTACAAACACCTAAACATGTCGCACCAGCGAACAGGAAATCCTTGACATGGATGGAGGAGGAAGATTATCCCACTCCCCATCTTCAAATTTTAAATCTACGCTACGCAGAAACATGACGAAGATGTAGCACAACAACAATAAACTAACACACACACACACACATAAACGTGACTTGCATCCCAGCAGCATCTCGGTGGCAGCAGTGGGAGGGGCATGCAGCAATTCCACAGCCTGCCCGGTCACTCAGCGTCCAACGTACAGTTAAAATGCAGGTCTCATTACATTGTGTTGAGAAACCTTGAGATGTGACTTCTTTATATGATCCTATATCATTTTTCACACCAGAAAAGCTGTTGGAGGAAGTACATCCTCTTTTCGGTGACCGCAGCCCTACAGATGAACTGACTCAACACCATTCATGGGAGGAAGTGAAGCTTCGTGTTTGAATACGTGCACGGCCAACTGAGACAGTATCCACGTCTGAAGTGTGTGAAAGAAGAAGACGATATATGAATAACAATCTATTCATTGACGGGAATTTTAGGGAAATTAGAGTGAATATTTCTTCTCTATTTTAACCAAAGCATTGGAACACTCACTGTGGACAGAGTCATTAGACCCAGTGGACAAAGGTATGGGACACAAACTGAAAATGCAATTGTGTTGTGTGAGATTAGTGCAAAAGAAAGATTGGAACAAGTTAATTGGGACTTTAGAAGGTCATGAAACTACAAATCTAAGAGAGAGAGAGAGAGTGAGAGAGAGAAAGAGAGAGAGAAAGAGAGAGAGAGAGAGAGAGAGAAAGAGAAACATCCTCTATGGCGACTTCCATTTGTGGTTAATTACTGTCTCTGTAACAATTCGCCGGTCCATTTAGCCGTGTAAAAAAAGGGTGCAGAGAAGATTGTCTTCTAAACCTGGAGTATTTATAGCTCGTTCACATGTGACAGAGCTACTGCAGCTAAAACCAGCAAGTGGACATGGAAGGACAATGAGACACAGCAGTGGAGTGTGGGGATTTGCTGAGGCAAAGATCTCTCACTTCCGCCTTTGAACTTATGTAAAAGCACAAACATTATATAAGAGATGGACTTCTACAAACGTTCAAGTTGCAGTATTGACACAGAAAGAAAGCAGTGATGCTGTAGAAGGATTATCCCAGTGATGAGCCCTGAAGTTATTTCTTAAGAGTCAGCGTTAATCTGTTGACTCTTTGTTTCCAGATAAAAATAGCTCAGATTTGTAAACTGTTAAAACGTGGAGATGATTTCAGAGGAGAACGCCTCAACAGAGATGGCACGTGTGAGTGGATGAAAAGGTTGATCCGATTGGCTGACTTGACAGGATGTCTGGGAAATCTTCGTTTAACAACCATCATATTCCAAAAATAAAGCTACAATACTTTACATGCTAGTCTTAGATAGAGTTCCTTTTTTTAACTAGACTATTATTAAATGAAACACTCACATAATGTCACTATTACAACTAGAGTTTAAACTTTACATCTCCAACATGAAGCTAAGAGAAACGGTATCAATATGAAGAAGGAACATGTGAAGGTTAAATGACAGAGCTGAGCCCATATTTATGAAAGATGATGATGAGAGGAGCCAGAGAGAGGGAGTCGTAATCACCTTCCAACCTCTCGCACTGGTGGAACATGGCGGAAATGAGGCAACTTGGCAGACAGGAGACGGCGCTAAGTGTCCCACTCCCTGAACTCTCACTTTTCTTCTAGGTCACTTTGGCAGGAAGTGGTTTATAAATGACACTACACTTGTCCCAGCAGTGCAACTTATACCTACAGTCTAACGACCCTCACCAATGAACCCGGCCCATGCACATGAGCACTGATCAGTGAGAAGTGACACGCAATTAAGAAAAGAAATTTGGCTCCATAAATCCTTTTTAATCATGGTTAAACTGTAAAAAGAACTCCTATGGTTCCCTGGTTTAGAATGAAGGAATAACATTTGTAAATGGACAGTTTCACAAAATAGCTGGAGTGTAATCT